AGATAGATGATAGATAGATAAATTAGCCTCATTTTTCTCCACAGACCTTCAGGTAAGTTGAACCACTGACTTCCAGTTATCAGCCCAGTACACACCCCACAGTGCCAGCAAGCACACAAACAACTGTGCCCCATAGATTGGACCATGGTTTCACAGTGGTTAAAACACTTGCCTGTAAACTGAGAGGTGGGGAGTTTGAATCCCCAGGAGAACGATGTGGTGATATATTTCTGGGAGGATGTGAAGACTGGGAAATTCCACGGGGTCATTAAGAGGCAGAATGGCTACACAGACAGAGGATACTGTTCTGGTGTGTACAAAGTGGACTTCAACGCTTTGTGTTTGATTCTGAAAGAAAAACGAAAAGCTGCTGCATGTGGAGTATAATATTACAATATGTTAAATCTAAGTTAAGGGTAATATGTTTTGTTGTTTGTAATTACAGGCAGATCAAGATTCATTTCTAATTGATTCTTTAAGACTATATAGGAAAGTCAGGCCAGTGCAAATGGGTTCTTATTCAGTCTTACATTACTGCAAGAAAAGAGTTAATCTCTTTGATTTTTAAAAAGCTGCACTTGCAGCAGGTGAAGGTAATTGTGATGAAGAATTGATTGTGAGTAGGAGTTAGTTCAGTTATTAAAACAAAAACAAAAACAAAACCTCACTGACAACAAGCTGATGCTGACTCACAGCGAGTGCCTGTGGGTTTTAGAGACTGTGACTGTTTATGGGAGTAGAAAGTCCATTCTTTCTACTTCATAGCTGATGGTGGTTTTGAACTGCTGACCTGGCAGATCACAGACCAACGAATAACCACTAAGCCAGCAGGACTCCTAGTAATTGTTTAAAATTAAGGGCAGTTTTACATAATATTAAAGAACAAGTAAGAGTTGTCCCTAAGTCAAACTTTCATAACCTGTACTCTCTATATTTCTCTATGGTTCAACTACCTGATTATCATAATAAAAATTGTGAAAAATATGTATTGGTGATAGACTAAACTAGGCACTTACACTGTCTCTCATCCCTACTACATAATTGAAGTAAAGTTATTTAATTTCTTTAGGAGTCACGTGATATCTTTATGCATGTAAGCAATATTTCCTATTTCTAGGGTTGTTAAGCTGTGAAAAAATATATGGCACAGTACTTCAAATTTTTAAAAATATATAGTAATTGGATGATAGTGAAATGGAGGAAAGGGCTTCTGAACAAGAGAAGCACATATCAGTTGTATAGCATGCTAGCACATTCCTGCTGTTGGCTGTTGGGTCGAACGTGTAGAGGTCATGGACGAAGGCAGCGTGAGCAGTTAGAATAGGTCTGTGAAAGCAGAGGAGGATGCCTGTGAATGAAGAGAGAGAAGACAGAGAAGAAAATGCTTGCAGTTACTGTTTCAAATAAGAGAGCAAGAAACATGACGTGCTGGTTTGTAGAAGCAAAAGACAGTAAATATGAGTTTAAAAACAGAGATAGCAAATGTGAACTATGTTAAGTAGTTTGGTGGTAAAAGAAAATGGGTCAGAGCCTGGGTGTGTTGGTGGGAAAGAGCCTGACCTTTTAGCAGATGGAAAGAAGTGTGTGAGCAAGAAAGAAGAGAAGAGATGGACATAGGTAGGACACTAGTAGGTAAAGTTTCTGAAAGGGATGGGAGGGATTGGAATCGAGAACACAGATGGATACTTTTATTAAACAAGGTAAACTATCCTACTGTGATGTTACCAGTAGGTATGGATAGTGGGTGGTATGTAGACCAGGTCTACATGTGAGGGCAGGTCATTTAGGCAATTTATGTCTCTTAACTTTAATTTTGTTTCTGGTGAGGATGAGGCAATGTCTTCTACTAACAAAGGATGCTTACTGTTTGATCTCTTTGTGTAGTGGTTTGTTTGCTTCTTCCCCTACCAAGCGTAAGGACTCAAGTCACTGTACTACTCCTGGAAGGATGTTTCATTTGATAGAAAAAAATGAATTTAAACCAAGTTCTCTTTTTCTAAAGAAGAATATGTATGTGCACATGTGTGCCCATGCATATGAGCAGTTATTTTTTAGGACTTCAAATCATCAGATTTATTTTTGAAAGCCACGATAGGCCTACAGAGAGGTATGATGTGTGATAGTTACTTGCTTAGTCTTTGGGGAAATAAACAGAAGGCCAAGACTCCAGATTTTCATGTCCTCTACAAAATCAGCTTTCCAAAAATAGATTCATACAAGCTGTAGTCACAGTTGAATGTCATGTTTCTATTATTGCGATGACATAAAATCATTAAACCACTGCTAGTAGTAAAAGCAGTCATAGAACTGCTCTGCGTCCATTCAAAGGGAGTTGCATTTTAAGTGACAGATGGAGAGCAGTGTTCTCCTGTGGTGAGTGCCATGGACTCTAAGTTTGAATCCCACAGTAATTTATTAGATGTCCTCCAGTGACATTTCTCTGCAGTAGTCAAGATTTCAGTTCTGAATAATAGTAACAAAACGGTTGGGGTGTCATCCAAACAGTTCATAGGGCTCCCCTTTTGAGTCATCATTGGAATGAGTATAATGCTTCTTATATTGAAAGTAACCAAGATAAAGACATGAAAAATTCCTTATTATGAAGATTTACCCACTCCTTCCCAGTTAATCTCCCTGTCCTTTGCTGGACTTCTCCGCTCGTGGTATATACCACATCTGCATCTATTATGTGGAAGACAAATATCTCAATTAACCTTCACAGAATCCAATGAAACAGATATTGTGGTCTTATACAAACCAAGACACCTACAATGAAATGGATAACATAAGGTTCCCAAGATCAATTGAAATGCAAAGGTGTATCTGAGATTCAAAGAGATACTTAATGTCTCTTAAAAAATCAAAATGTTCTAAGGAAAAAGGACAAGGATATGGGTGTTTTCACCCATTTGGACAGTAACATACCAGTTTTATTCTCAATAAATCTCTATTGACAAACATATTTTGTACATAAAAGCAAAACTAGGCTTCCTATCATCCATCTAAAACTGGCTGCTGGGAACTCCTGTGGGCATTGAAGCCTCCCTTGTATGTGGGTGCATTAATCTTACATAACATAGTCACTCCACTTCTTGTGGGGAAGGGAAATGGAAGTGGTGCAGTAATTGGTTTCTATCTGAGGGAACTGAAGGTTTATTGGGAGAGGGGATGCATGATTGCTTCTATACATGCTTTTTTCATGGTATCTTATTTTCTCCACTGTATAAGATACACCCATTTAAGGGGTTATCTCTTCTTCCACTTTATGAATTTCTTATGAATAGTGTATAAGTTGTACAAATCAGGGGTTGGGAAAGGACAGCCCCCACACCAAGAAGGATAAAAGAGCATCAGAAAGGTAGGACTTACAGTAATAGGGACAGCAGCAGGTCTGTGGTCTTCAATTTCTCATTTTAACCTGGAGCAGCACCTAGGGATATAACAAACTGAAGTATCAAGGTCCAGCAGTTTTTTAGCAAAGGTAGGAAAGCATAAACCTCTCCCTTGATGGGAAATCGGGAGTTGGAATACATCAATTGTGGGTCCTGGCATTATCTCAGCCCCAAATCTTGTTTTATCAATTCAATACCCCTGGTTGGTTGAAAGAGGAAATGAAACTTCCTTCCTCTTAGTTGGGTGGTATCTAAGCTTTAGACTTGCAGTTCTTTGGCATACTTTGCCCTAATCTGTCACCTTATCACTTTACTAGATTTGGGTAACTTTTCTGTAGGTTGTTTCCATGCAATTTTCTAGAAGATGACCACTTTTGGGGGGAGACCGCACCCAAACCAAACTCATCGCTACCCAGAAAATGTTGATGCAGAGTGACTCTATAGGATAGGGTAGAAATTCCTATGGGTTTTTGAGACTACGACTCTTTATGGAAATAGAAAATCTCATCTTTCCCCACAGAGTGGGTGGGTGGTTTTGAACTAAGTACTGGCCTGTGGTCAGCAGCCCAACTTGTAACCACTATACAACCAAGTCTCCTCCTTCGGAGAGCCCGTTATGCAGGGAATCTGACTTGGATAAATCAATTCTTTTTCTGTTTTGTTTTAATTAATTAATTTTTAAAATCATTTTATTAGGTGCTCATACAACTCTTATCACAATCAATACATACATGCATTGTATCAAGCACATTTGTATATTTCTTGCCATTATCATTTTCAAAACATTTTTTTCTACTTGAGCCCTTGGTATCAGCTCCTCTTTTTTCCCCCTCCCTCCCCCGCCTTCCCTCCCTCATGAACCTTTGATAATATATAAATTATTATATTTTCATGTCTTACACAGCCTGATGTCTCCCTTTGCCCAGGCAGGGTGTTATATGTAGATCATTGTGATCAGTTCCCGTTTTCTCCCCCACATTCCCCTTACCCTCCTGGTTTCGCTAATCTCATTATTGGTCCAGAGGGATGTACCTGTCCTATCTCAGTATGATTTGTCTTCCTGTTTCACCATGCTGTGCCTTGCAATATTAGCTTCAGAATGGAGGAAAATGAATGAATGAATGAATGAATGAATGAACGAACGAACGGTTTTCTGGTAAAATGTATCCTCACAAGAGCTTTCTTTCCATAAAACTCTCTCCCTTTTTATCGCCTTTTATGAAGGCACAAGCAGATGCTTAGATACAAATCAGGACTTTGTTTCCTGGAAAAGACTAACATTTTTCTATCATATAAATCTCTCTTCTCTCATCTGAAACTCAGACTCATTTAGTCCACAGACAAAGTCAATTACATCAACTAATGGGGCCCCAGACTATAAAACAAGGACTCTTGATATTTCATCATGGAAGCCCTTGTGTTTATTTGCTAGTATCCTTTGATGTGTTATAAAATATCCTGTATATGTACTTTAACAATCCCCCTGGAATTAAATCCTACCTTGTACTAACAGCTAACATCTTTCAATGTTCACTGTGTGCCGGATGCAGTGACAAACACTTGACACAGCTTACCTCATTTAATCCTCACAGAAACCCAATGAAGTGTTTGCTGTCATTATCCCTATTTGATGAAGAGGATACTGAGGCTCAGAGAGAATTAATAACTTGTCCAAGATCATCTAACGTTGAGTAATCAAGAGTGAATGACCTGAAGCCGGACCGGTGGTTTCTGAAAGGAAATTTATGGAGACAGAGCTGTAGCAGGTGAGCAGTATGTTTAATATCCATTATACAGGGAACAGGCGGTCCAGACGTGAGACTTGAGAATGGCTCTGGTCTTGATCTGTGGGATTCCCAAGTCGCATGATGGCAAAAGTTTCCTCTTCTAACAAGACTAAGAAATGAGCTCTAGGTTTTTGGCTAGTAACTCTTGGATGTAGCAGAATTGCAATTGCTTGGTCTTACTTTCATCCTCAGTGTTTATATTAAGGGCTCTCCAACCGATCCTCTGGCATGATCAGAAACCTCAGAGGTACAAGACATGCTAGCAGTGATGTGATATTGGTGAGATGGGGCTTTCAGCCCTGTTTTTTCTCTTTTTAACGTCTACCAGGTTGTCTGCTTTAACTATCAGATCGGCCAAATTTCAAGTTGTCTGGACTTCAGTTCTAATCGGTCCTACTCTTTGAGAGGGAGGACTTCTTTTCTGGGAGGGATGGTACACCCATTTCAATATTACAGTCAGATTTGAGAGTCCACAGTCTTAGATAATTTTCAATAATAATGATATATTCACATGTGCATTCCTATGAGTTATAGCACGTATTTCATGTTTTTCCTGCTATACACTTCTTTACCTCATACTTTCTAATTCACCATCTGAAATACATATGTAACATCTTATCTATTTATAGCATTTATATTTCACCTTTCTGGTACTATGCACTCTATAGAGTGTGAGATCGTGTTTGGTTACAAACCATCTGAAGAGGGTATGGTGTCTTTGAGATTGGTGAAGCAGCCCTAGTGGTGTAATGGCTAAGCTGTCAGTTGCTAAGGTTCTAACCCAATAACTGCTCTGCAAGAAAAAGACCTGGTGATTAGCTCCCATAAAAATTTCAGTCTATGAAACCTTATGGGCCAGCTCTCATCTCCCCCATTTGGTCACTATGAGTCAGAACTGACCCAAGAGCACACAACAAGAACAATGTGAGACCAATACGTTTACTCTCTGTCAGGTTTGGATTGGAAGCCAATAGACTGTCAGGGGAAGAACAAACTGGGCCTAGATGATAAATCCAAATCGAGAGTACATGGCTAGTTGATAATTACTGTCCTGGGTGAAGTTATCTCTAGGAAACATGGAAGTAGAAGCAGTGGAATTAAGCACTTGTCTTTATGACAATTATGGAGCTATAGAGTCTTGTCATCTTGAATTCTATTTGTGTGTATTACAGAGTACAAAATCATTCTTTTCAGGACTTCTCAGTTGAACTTTATACAGTTAAACATTTATAAATATAAATGTATTGAGCCAAGAGAAATAATCAGTAATTTAACAATAATAATATCTTCACCACCACATGAAAGGTTGATGAAATCAGAGACATCATCTGTTTCATTGATTGCTATATTGTCCCAGTTCATAGATGCTGGCTGAACAAAGTAGCTTCTCAATGAATATTTATTGCTTGAATTAATAGGTCAGTAATGACTCTTTAGAAAATGAAAAATATTAAATTATTTGAATATTCTTAG